GCGTTTACAGCGTGCTTCTGTCTCCGCGCTGTTGTCGCCCTGCCCTGTGATGACGTCAGCTACGCAGTTTCGTCGAGCGCGCTTTAGTCGAACGCCGTTTTGTGGTGGAACCGTTACAATAGGCATCTCCCCTCCCCTTCTCTCCCTCAGGCTTGCCTCACAGAAGCCTCCCCTATCCTATCCCTTTCTCTCTCTCAGCCTTACCCCTCAGAAACCGCTCCTATCTTATCACCTTCTCTCCCTCAGGCTCCTCTTCACGTTCAGCCAAGAGGCTGGATGAAACACTCACTGGCCACAACCACATCCACGTTTTCAGGTTGGGAGGGAGAGTAGGATGTCTAACTCCTTAGCATGTTAATAATAATATAAGAAATACTAATGGTCTGATGGTCATTCCGAAAAATCCTTTCTAAGCGAGCACCTAGAAGCCAAGAGGAACATACATGCCACATTTCAAGCCTGCAGGGTATACGGTTCTGGAGATTTTGTGATGAAGCATGAGTGGTTTTCACTTTTATATATATAGATGCAATTTTTCATAATGCTCGACTCCAATTGGGAAAGTGGAAACCACAAGGCTGAAAACTGTTCATGGGCGAGGAAAAGAGGAAAGGCGACCAACACAAAATGAATCCACTGAATTTGGAAGACTGGTCTTACATATAGAATTCTAGCCTGAATAATTCCGATTCTAGAAAGGCACCTGGAGAAGTGAAAACAAACTCTTACCACTGAGAGACAAGCAGGGCCCTCTAGCAACAGGATCTCGAGAAGCAGAGCAAAGAAGCTGGAGGAAATTTCATTCACTCCAAGACAAGGCTTGATGTCTTCAAGAGGCCTTGGAAAGAAGATAGGTTTATTTTAACTTAATTAAAAAGTACCACGGCAATCACACTCAGTTATATCATTCTGTGTTCAAATTTTCACATATATTAATCCCAGATACCCAAATATGAGGTAAGGTATCTCGATAATGTAATCTGGGAGAACTTTTAAACCTAAGAGGTTATCTAATACATTTGTGACTGACTATCCAATTATTTGACTATCGTTCCCTTACTTATCCCAAACTTATCCCCAACATGCTTAGGTGCTTTTTCAGTCTCAATTTATAGCTTTCAAACAAGAGAAATGTGTTATGCTTCCTCACCTGAAGTCAATGTACATATATATTTACAAATAATACTCTCCTGTTATTGGACTTGATGTTGCAATGGGTGTTGAAAGCTGACCTAACCTGTACCTGTGCCTTACCGTAAATCATACCTATATTTATCTGACAAGGTTGCAACCTAAAACAGATTAACTGATGTATGCATACTGAGTTTGAAACTTTGCTAGCAAGAGCAAAATATTTTCCATGTTGACTAATCTCTATGTGGCTAGAACCGGCTTCATTACAACTATTAATGTATATTTGTATTCTGGGGAATTACATGTACGATTGCTATTCCCTTTGGAAGTGACTTACTCTTCTTTAACAGATGGGAGGGATGGGGGATCCCACAGGGGAGGAATGGGGGAGGGGTTTTGAGAAACAGGAGGGATCCCTTCAGAGTTGCCAAGAGCTTCAGAGAAATCTTCAGCCTCGGATTTAATCACTTTTAGCTTCTTTTTCTTTTTCTCCTCTTTTTCCTTCACTTTCTTTTTGAGGACTGCAAGGTCAAACAAGGCTTTTTTAAAAAAAAAAACAAGAGAGAGAAAAAGACGTGCTTAGTTACAAAACAGTTTTTAAAAACAATGTAACCCAAACACCATCACTCTGCTAAACAAATAATCCCTCAACACTGTCAAACTATTTGCTAAGTCTGCATTACTATTACTATTAATCTTCTCATCGTTCCTATCAC